GAGAGAGAGAGAGAGAGAGAGAGAGAGAGAATGATACACATGTACACACACTGCAAACACTGCAACAAAGTGCTTCACAGTTATTCACCATGCTTAATTAGTGTTGTTTTATTGGTGTTGATAGTGGGTTAATCTTTATAAGCCTGTATATAAAGAGGAAGCATTTAATCACTGTAAACTGAAAGCAAATGATGTGGTTACAACTGATAACCTCTCAGCACCCTTCATTTCAGGACAGTCTGGAGATAAGTATAATTTATGAAACATTATTCATTGTACCCAGTGCTTTTTTTTGTAAGAAAAAAGGTGCCAGAACTCATGAAATTATTTACCTTTCGCACGTAGTCAATCACTGTACATACACCCACACACTTCAGTTGTGTAACGAAACATAACGGTTGCCACCCGCAGTAAGCACTCAGCGCACGACCACACAAGGAATCACAAGCCAAGCAGTACCACAAGTCAAGCAGCGCCATCACAAACCAGCGTGGACGAAGTACGCATGCATCAGACTCAACGCACAAGCAGCCCGCATGCACCGTTTTAATGATTTTGCCGCCGGCCGGTAACGCTCAACAGGGCAATTCAAATCCACGTGGACCAAACATCAAATTTTCAAAAGTTACTTTTAAAACTTGGAAAATCTGTCGAAAAAAGGTGCCAGAACTCTGTTCCGGTGCGTTCTATGACAAAAAAAGCACCGATTGTACCTCAGAAACTGTTTTACTTAATTGAATTAGACATTTTCATTATTCCATATGGTTTACCGCTGAAGAGATGAACATGCAAATTAAATGCAATGTTCAGATATTCTGGGGCAAGGGGCAGAACAAGCAAGCAGCAGTGCATCGACTATCTTATGGTTGCAATAATGGATTTAATACATATTTTTATATTTTGTCTTTTTATGTAAACAGAAAGGACAGACTTTATTTTGGGCATCTGGTAACTAAAAATCAGGAGCAGCCAGCACGATGATTGTTGGAATAGAACGGTTTGAACTGAACCTCTCGTCCCTCGAGAAATTATAAATAATTAGATGGTATATAAGTCAATCAACAGGTTTGTGGTCAGCGTTTTCAGGATTACGGCCACCTATTCATAGAAGCATCAGTGTCTGCACATGAGCCTTACCTCAGAATCTTTGTCCAGTTTATCTCTAACCACAATTAGATTATACAGTATCCGGTCATCATCTGCTTCTGTGTGGGAGATGTCATGAGGGGCACTCCACAGGTTCTTCTCTTCATCCCATGCCTGTGTTGCTCCAAATGAAGCATAAGGGTTGTTATTACTGAAGTGCAATAAAAAAAAGAAGTTGAAACCATATTAGTAATCCAGTTATGAATACTGGTGCAAACTATATGAATTGCTAGCACCACTAGGTTTTGTTTTTTTTTACAAGTCTACACTATACAAAGGGAAGATATTTAGCTGGATTACTTGCCTCTATTTGTGGTAGACCGGCCTATGGATCCCTAGTCCTCAGAGAGCTACTATGAAGTAATGACTGCCCACAGAGTGAGGGAGAAAAATACATTTTACACAGGAAAGTCAATATCTGATGTACCCCACTCCTACTGCAAGGTCTTAGAAAAAAAATGGCATGGGACTAATTCTTAACCACTGCCCCCAGAGCTGAAACCCCAGTCTAAATCAGGCCCCCAGCAGCTATAATTGCCGCTGTCAAGGTGGCATAACCCACCTCCTCGCAGAGATCTCCTACAATTTAATCCAATTTGACCATAAGAACTAGGCCCACGGAAATGTGCTTGATGGCAGGAGTATTCTACCTACCTCTGCAAGCCTGCTCACAGAGGAGACAGACCACAGATAAAGTCCTGGTTTACTGTGAGTCCCCCAGACACCCCGGACTCCTTTTTTCTCCTACCTCCTTGAACATATTAACAGAATGAAGTGATTTTGTGCTTTGTAATATGAAAGTGGCTGCATCACAACTGCATCATGAGCTAACAGGACAGGGGCAAGTAATTGGGGGTTTTCCAGATGTGTGGCCTACAACTCCTCTATCCCTCACCACTGGCTGTGCTGGCTAGGGCTGATGTTTTGTGGACCAAAACATCAGTGGGCCAAAAGTTGACCCCACCCCCATAGGGTTTGGCTGAAAGGAACCAAAGACACAAAAGAAATGAAAAAAGAAAAGAAGCACACAGTATTTATATCTCATGGCACTGTATAAGAAGTTTGACTTGCACGAACACCACTTTTGTTTCATTCCTTGTGCAGGAAAATGATATACTATTTCTCCAAGTTAGGCTGATGACTCTATTAAGTCCTAAGAATGAAGGTGTGCATTATCTTTATTTGGCTGCAGGCAGAGAGTGAGATTATACTTCAATATGCAAGGCAACAAACAATACATTTTTTATTCTTATTGTAACCCTTTGGAAAGCCCTTAAACACACAGCTGCTTTTTATACTAAAGTGGTTGCACCTATCTCCTACTAGGAGAGATACAAACATTTTTCTGTTGGTGAGCTTGTTTATAACTGTGAATCATCTCAACTTTGGTTGACATGGAGGTTGGTGGGGAGGGGAGTGCCAAGTAGCCTGAATCCTTTTTCTCACTAAGTATTTTGTAAAACTTTACTCTTTCAGGGCTATTAGGCTTCTGGTACAAGAACTGTGCTGCCAACTTTTCCCCACTACAGCACAAGCTCCAGCTTCCCCCATTTCGATTACCATGGGCCTTTTATAGAGAGGGTGTCTTCTAGAAATTCTCTTTGTGGACAACATGTATGTATGTTAGGGCGCTTCATGATTCAACCTGAAGAACCCAGTTTTTCAAAACTTAAACAGTGCTTAGTTCTAGATACAACTTAAAATGGACATGCACAAAACCCTAACCTTAACCCCACCCTTTCTCCTGTCACATAACTGGCACCAGTCTATATATAATATATTATAATATATACCCTGTGTATATTTCAGCTACAGTTTCCCAACAAAAATACTACCAGAGGCATTATGACAGTCAATATTCTGTTTCAACTGTTCTTTGGAAGCAATTCTAGCCATCTCAGTAGCATACCCTGCTTTAGAAGCCCATGCAGTACAGGCAATTTTAGAGTAACTGAACCCAACATACAGAAAAAACCTGTGATATGCAATCTAAGTGGAGGTGCCAAGGCATTGATCCATGGTATTAAGGGCAGGTATTACAAATATCTGCTTCCATATTTTCACCTTAAAAAGTATAAGAAAGCAAGCCATGGGGCAAAGCAAGTAAAATAATTGCTTGTAGGAAACCACTGAGGTAGTAAAAGGTACAGGTAATAAGTTTCTCTAAGGAAAAAATGGTTACTTGGCACAAACCAATTCTGGATTGCACCTGAACGCAGATAGCCAATGTAAGTTTGAAGAGCCACTTAGAGTTCCTGGAAGAGGGACTAATCTTACACCATAAGTGTAAAATATTTCTTCTAAAAGATGTTGGTTGGGAGGGGGGTGATTACTGCACTGATTATCTATACAGTTAGCCAAAGACAGAAACACATTATGGCATATGCAGGACATCCTACCAAACCAGACTTAAGATGATATGCTGCAATGTCTGAGCTGACCATTCATCCATTAAACCAGAATCCCAGACCATGGTCAGACATGATTGGCAAATCATGGTTTCCTTGTACTCTTAACTGCCTTGGTTGTTACTCTGCTCCTTGAAAGCCTTTGCATCAAAGAATTGGGAGAGCAGAGACAGAAATGCTAGCAGGTAAACCATGTTTCTCCTGCGCATTTAGAATCTCAAGCCATGTTTTCATAGTTAGCAGAAACCATGGTTAGCCATGCAGTGTGGACAGGACTGCAACTGCTCCAGGATTGTTTGGAAATGAATGGGTTAGCATAGAACCATAAGCACATGTTAGACAACATTAACTTAAGACTATGTGAAGTTGCTAAATGTACTGAAAAATAAAGCCCTGTCCAAGCAGAACAAAACGTTGTCATCAATGCAAACTCACCAACACTTCCAATCTTCAGCTAATGCCTCCAGCCAGACCCTTCCCCCTTCACCAGCCAAGCCTGGACTATCCATATTCCTCATAAATGCATCATTATAGAACTGTTAAGCAGTGCTAGAATCAAGCCGAGCAAAGTGGGGGCCAAATTACTAGGAACAATCCAAGTCAACATGTTAAAGCTAGGACAGACAACTTTCCTCAAACTGAAATGATAGGCTGTCACTATCCCATATCCCCTTGGTCTAATACTGTGAAAACCCTTCTCACCGATCACAGAAGAAACAGCATAGAATGCCGGTGTGAGCCTTATCAAACTAAACCCTACTAAAGAAAAAGAGCTTAAAATGCAATCAATCCTATGCATCCTTGGAGATGGCTAGCTGAAGGGATGCTGGGAGTTGCACCAGGGTTTGCTTCCTTACAAAATGAAGTCTGAAACACTGCTCTGGATTAACTTCATACCAGTCAATATATCTCCATGCAAAAGATTTGTTTTCTTCCTGTTGTGGTTCAAAGAGTTTTTGGTTGAACAGAAGCATGAACAAAGACTTAATTTCTCGAAAGATGTAGCAAGACGAGACCGTTGAAAGGAGTGGAAGAGAGCTATGCTAACATATATACAGTTCATCTTTGCCAAGCAGCCCTCTTTCTGGAACAACTTGGAATATGTAGAAATAAACTCAGCTCATGGTTAATATGAAACTGCATCATTTCATCCAGTCTGTTTTACCTTAAAATTTTAAATTTAGGAGCAGCAAGCCCCCAGGGAGGCACAAAATACCAAGAAAGTGGGGTGTGGGGTGACAAAGCTGTGGGGCAGAAAGGAAACTGGCACAAAGACAGAAACACTGAAGCTACGACAACTGTTATGCTAAACATGGCAACTGTGAACAGGCAGGGAACATGGAAGAAGCGTCTTCTAGCCACAGTAGCTCCTCAGCACTTTTCTAGCTGGCTGCTTTCAAGAGCAAGTCCAAGAAGATCCATTTGAGTCCCCCCCCCCCCCCCACAATGGCAGCTGGACAAGCATCCCAACCCACCCCAACCCAACCCACAGAGCCTTTCATGCGAACAGAAGTGGGTGGCAGGCCCGTGTAAATATTCGATTTATTTATTTATTTATTTATTAAAACATTTTTATGCCGCCCCATTTGCTGGAGCCTCGGGGCGGCTTACAACATTAAGTTAAAAAAATACAAACATTAAATTATAACATTAAATTAAAATGTTTGTAAAATACAAACATTAAGTTAAAATGCAAAAAATAACAATATAAAATAAGTTGCCCTGGCCAGATATATTCTATGCTTCCATACCCATGCTGAAGAGATGGCTGTGAGTGGAGATTTGGCAGGTGGAGGGACTGGAAGGAAGTGTATAGAAGGAGGAAGGATCAAGCTCAAAAGACTGAGACCCACTGCTTTACAGTAGCCTTCCATATTCTTAAAGGACGGCCCAAACTTGGCCCAAGGAATAGGGCTCATAAGGGCCAAAGTTGATGAGATGCAGTCTGTGAATAGGATCATCTGCATTTTACTAAGTGTGCATAGCAGCTTCAGGAGGAGGTATTCAAGCAGGAACCTTACAGTTTTCCCCAAATAAGGATGTCACTCCCTAGTCCAAGTTGCCCACAGGGGAAAACATTAAGCATTAAAGCTATCTAGGGTGCTTCCAAAAGGAGGGCTCTTAAAGCGAAGAATCAGAAGGTACTGTGCTGCTATTTCATTTGTTTTCCTTAACAGATTTTACACAGTAAGAAAAAAGATGAAAATAGTGGTGGGAAGATAAGAGGATTTCAAGTGATGACAATGACATCTAGACCACCAGCAAAATTCTGTGAATGAGGCCCTCATCTGAACGCCCTCCAAGGCAAATATTAGTTTTGAACATTTTAGGAGGAAAATGTTGTGTGGAAGAGGTTTTACATCCTTTCCAGCACCATAGTCCTAATCTGAATTGCCGTGTTGCAGGCAAACAGGAGAACAATTGCAATCAGTGGCACTAAGCTTCAAGATCATGAGTCAGTTTAGGACTGGATTCCGGAAAGCTGTTGATGATCAGCACAAGAAAGCCAGTGGTTCTAAAAATGAATGCAACACAGCTGCCAATTTAGGATACTAGAAATAACTTCTTTGAAGTAGTCTTCACATGACTCCTTGAAAGTATTAGGTGTACTCATGATGACAGACACCAACGCTACTGTTATACTTCTAAAAAGGAGCAGGCAAGGTTTTCCTTTAGTCAATACTATTGTGGCAAGACACATTATCAGCCCATTTAGGACACACTTCTCACACAATACAGACTT